CATTCTACAGTTTGCCTCATTTAGAGCAATATTTAAAGAATATAGTTAATCAGACAATAACACAGATAACTACAGGACAGTATATCTGCAATGGGCTCACTTGTCAAGAATGAAATGTAGGATCATGAAGTACAAAAATATTAAAGTTCTGAACTTAATTATAATAACAATTTATTGAGTACCTATAATGTGCCAAACACTCTAAAACAACCCCGTAAGAAAAGCATTATTATTCTCAGAAACACAGATGCTCACAGGGTCAATCATGGGGGTCTGGGGTCATATAGCTGGAAACCAGTGGAGCCATTTCAAACACCCATCTGACTCCAAAGCAGAAGTTCTTTTCAACATGTACTCTTCATCTAACTTATAAATGTGTAAACCACACTGCTCAGTAACACTGTTGAGAAGGAAAGCTATCATCACTACACATTTTTAGCCAATGAAAGGACTTAAGCTAATAAGCTCTCTTTCTTCAGAGAAAGATGGGGAAAAATGGTATGAGAGCAAGAAAACTAGTAGGTGCAGCTGATGGTAAGCAGGTGTCACAGCTCAAAGCCTACAGAGGCCAGGCAAAGAATATAAATTCCATATTTGAGTAGGGTGAGGTTACAAGACAGTGTGGAGCTCGAGCCAGCACACTAAATTTAAAGGGATTTAAAACCTCTTTTAAAACAAAAGGCAAACAAGTGAACAAAACACTGTGGTATCTAAGAGTTATGTGAAATTTAGTGGGGAAGGGAACTCAGAAAGGATTAGATGCATACAGAAATTGACTCTGAACCCTTTCAAATGGGAAGTACATAACTGTGTATTTGAGGGGCAGGGCACACAGAAAGCACAAAGCTTAAAAGAAAGAGGAGTGGGAGCAGCCCACCAGTATGCAGATGAACTTGCAGACATGCCTATTACAGTAAATACTTTACTGTACATAATTATATGCTTTAACAGAATGGGTAAGTCCATTTACTAGCAAGACACTTTCAGTTGTGTTTTGTTTAGAAAAATTCAAAGCCAGCCTCAGAAAAAGTGAGGTGCTAAGTAAGACCTCAGTAAGACCCTGTCTCTAAATAAATACAAAATAGGGCTGGGGATGTGGCTCAGTGGATGAATGCCCGAGTTCAATCCCTGGGACCCTTCCCGCCAAAAACTAAAAAACAAAAAACAAAAAACCCCAATGATGGAACCTCAGATATCAACCTTTTAACTGGAATTTTCTTATAAATGCTTATTTTCTTTTAGCCCCATAATCATAAAATTTTAGAAAAAAATTGAAAGGAAATTTCATTGGCAATTAGAAGTTTGCCAATCTCAATAGTTTATTTCCTAACAGACCATCAAGAAGAGAACCAGTTGGTGCACACCTGTAATCCCAATGATTTAGGAAGCTGAGGCAGGAGGATCAAAAATTAGAGGCCAGCCTTGGCAATTTAGTGAAAACATGTATCAAAACACAAAGGGGATTAGGGATGTAGTTTAGTAAAGTGCCCCTGGGTTCAATCTCCAGTACCAGGAAGAAAAATAATAATAATTTTTTAAAAAGACAAGATACCAAGATGGTGTGCCACAGTTCCTTGGGACGCAGAGGTGGTTAGACTGCTTGAGCCCAAGAATTCAAGGCCAGTATGGGAACACAGCAAGATCCCAACTCAAACGAAAAAAACATGGATAGAGATAGCAAGAGAGATAGGAAATAAGTCAGTTGATGGGTCAGTCAGTCAGTCAGTCCATGCTAAATGAAGTCCTACTGCTCAGCTTGCTTTGAACTGTGGGCTCAAAACTCTGAACCCTGACTACCCTGTTTTAATGAGATCACATATTTCACTTTTCCCCACAAAGGTTGAATTGTATCCACTGTCAAAAAACTTTATGAGCCAACATAATTGGTAATCATTTTTCTTATAACAGCTGAGATGTTGAGCCATTATGATGCAACTATAGATAAATACCAAATTTCTCAATATTTAAGAGAACCCCAGGGCCCTACATAAAATTTCTTATTAAAAGAAACCAACATCCAATATCTAGCGACTACCTCATCATACTTTGCTTATAAATTCACATATAATAATTTTCAAATTTGTACTGTCTTAGAAAGCAAACCCAAGTCATAACAATAGTACCAATCCCCATGAAAGCAGTAAAGCTAAAAAAAATATGCCAGGAAAAACTAAGCCAAATACATCTATGATAAACACAAGCAGAATACATAAAAGATTAATTCACTTTTTAAAATAACAGCTATCATTAGCTGGGCATGGTGGCACATGCCTGTAATTCCAGTGACTCAGGGGGCTGAGGCAGGAGAATCACAAATTCAAGGCCAGCCTCAGCAGCTTAGTGATAACCCTGTCTCCAAATAAAAAATAAAAAAGGCTAGGGACTAGCTTAGTGGTAAGTCCCCATGGGTTCAATCCCCAATACACAAAATAAATAAAATAACAGCTATTATTATTTGCAAGACACTAATTTAGCACTTGACTTATATTATTCTCATTTATATATTCACAGTGATCCCTTGAAGTTGAAATTAATAAGGAAAAGGATTACATAGATTAAATAACTTGACCAATGTCACACATCTTTGAAATAAAACAGATTTAGAAGCCATTCTTTTTAAGACTTCAGAATCCAAAGTCTTAACAATAGAAACTTGTATACTATTAGAGCTGAGAAGTATTTTGCTTATTAGCTACGTGTAAATGGATGGCAGTTCAAACATTCACTGTACAAAATGGTACATACCTAGCTTTTACTCAATGATGTAAAATATTTTCTAAGAAAAATATATCATCATGATCAGCTAAAATCTGCCTGTTTACTATCTCTAGAACCTTTCCCTCCATTCCCAATATTATTACTATCAGGTTTTGGCTGGTCTTTCTATCTATAATCCAGTGCCCCCCACCCACCCACATTTAATTTTACACAATTTAGGTTAATCTATTTCTAAAATGCAGACCTGACCAGTAACGGCCATCATTTATGGTAAAAATGTTCAAAATTCATAAAAGCTAAAGACTTTTATGCCCAGGTCCTTGTCAACTTTCCCAGCCCTGTGCTTTTCTTTTTAACCACTTACCACACCTTATACTTCAGTCACACCAAAATACTTAACAATTCCTCAAAGAAATCAAGCTCCCCTTGCCTCTAGGCCTTTCTAATAGGGTTGCATCTGCAAGCAAACATTTCCATTTACCCCTCCCCTTAGCCCCATTCCCTTCTCTCTACTCACCCACATCTCACCTTTGGATCATTACCACCACCCCCCATCCCCCACCCCCGCCAAATCTTCCCTCTGGGAATCCTTCCCTGACTTCTCAAGACTTCAAAATGTCCCATGGCTTTCCGTGCTTGTGCTTATTCTTACTGCATGTCTTAATGTCTGTGTCCTCCCCAGATTCATATGTTGAAACTCAATGACCAATGTGATAGTATGAGGTACAGCTTTTGGGTAGTAGTTAGATTGTGAGGTGGTACTCTTATGAATAAGATTAGTCTTAGAGAGGTCCTAGAGAGCCATCTTGCCTCTTCCATCATGTGAGAACAAACCATTCAAAGGTGCCATCCATGAGCCAGAAAGCAAGCCCTCCACCAGACACCCAAGGGGGTGAGCAACTTGATCTTGGAATTCCCAGCATCCAGAATGTGAGAAATAAGTTTCTGTTGTTTATAAGCTACCCAGTTTATAGTTACCCAGCTTAAAGCAGACTAAAACACCATACCTTGTGTCTTCTGTGGATTATACATGTCTATCTGTTCCCCCAACAGACTCTAAGTTGCTCTTACTTGTATAATACTTCATAGCTTGCGCAATCAGATTAGATCCTTTCCTAATGTTGGTGCTACAGAAGTTTCCAGAGTTGAACTTACATTGTTGGAACATTACCACAATGATGCTACTAATTATATTTGGATTAAAAGCAAAACTCCCTTAGAACTCACTTTGCTCAATAAGCCAATGAAAAGTAGATTGTTCTTTTAGCAGACTTTATAAAGCAAGTCTCTCATTATCATCAGTCTCAAAATCAAATTATATCTTTAAAAACCAGGAGTCTTTTAAATACACATTTTATTCATGTACTTACTCTATTAAGCGCTTTGGGGATGAGCCACTCTGATGGAATTCATCAGCATCATAGAATTCATCTTCACTGCTAGAGTAAGAAAACTCTGGGACTGTATTTGGAGACAAGTTGACATGACTTGGAGAAGTTAGACTGCTACTAGGTGGTGAATGCCCACTGCCTAGAAAGTTAAAAAGGTTTAAATTAGGGGCAAAAATGTTGGTAATTAGGGAGATGGGGCAAAGCAGACCTTTTTAAGATCAAGAGTTTGGTTAAGTTAGTAGAAGTCTCCATACTATTTGTAAAGAAAATCAACATTTAAAGTAAACAAGGAAAAGGCCTATCATGTTACAGAAAGGGGAAATAGCCTTTTAAATAAATAAAAAAGATTCTATATTCCCAAACTATAATTTAAGGTGAATTTCTCTTTAATATTAGGAAGGCAGTGCTTTTGATTATGTGAATTGTGATACTGAAGTCTTGAAACAGACACCAGTACCAATGGGAAGCCAAAACTCTTATTTTATACTAGAGGCCAGATACTAAGACCCAATGAAAAATATACCATATAGAAAACATACAGAAAAAATAGCAACACTACACAAATGTTAGAATACTGTTCAGGATATTACATTCACATTATTCCTTTTTCATAGAAGTCACATGAAAAATTCTAAACCTCTGCACAAAGTTCTGAGCACACACTACACATGCTCCTCATTTCTTTTCCACCTAAGCATAAGCCAGATGCCTGGGGCTCAGGGACAGAAATAAAAACAGAGGGCTAGTATGGAAAAGAATGCAGAAGAGGAAAAGGCTAGGAAGAATGTCTTCCTATTCCTGAAGAGTCTAACCAAAATATGGAAGGCCAGATAAAGATGATTACTATCAAATCTGAAATGATCAGCTGGCATAAGTGGAGCAATAAAGCCAAAATATATATTAAACAAAGAATTGAGATCAACTTAATTTGCTAAGTATCTAAGTCTGTCACATAATTCATGCCAATTTATGCAGATACCTGCTAGAGGCTAATGTAAAGTAAATCACTGATGGCAATCAAAAGCCAAGGTTACAGATCTGGAAGAAATGGAAGGTAACAGCAATGAAAATGAATCTAACGCTACCCGCAGATTTTTAATCCATTCCTGTATCTTTGGTTCAATAGTTAAGAAAAACCAAATCAGTCTGTCACACTTGGTTGCCATGTTCACAAAAATACTTTAAAAATAGTAATTGTGGAAATTCAAAAGGTAACTTACCTAGGCAAATAACTTTAAATTCTCTTTTTTTTCTCCAACAGCAGAAATAAGATAGGAAAGAAACTTTCTCTTATTGGAATAGGAGAAGTTAGACTAGGAATTACAAATAATTAAGTAACAAGCAAGTACTCCAGGCAATCACACCGCTGAAAACGGGTCTAAGAAGAAAATGAGTTTGGGAACCACAAACCAAATAACTGGGAGCACCTTTATGAGAGCAAACAAAATGATTTCTTAGCTTTGTTTTGTTTTGTTTTTCACATTAGTGAAAAAAGGAAAAGAAAGGAGGGTGGAGAAAGTAGAAGTAAGGATGAAAGCTCAAACAAGACAAAAATCACAATAGTAAGATTCTTGAAATAATCTCTTTCTGAAATACTTCTGAAAAAAGATAATCACACTAAAATTAATCTAAGGAAAAGCTCCTCCTGTTTTCAAAATTAGTAAATAGTTTTATCTATTTTTCAACAGATAAATTTTGTCTGCTTCACAATCCAACCTTATAAACCACAAACAAAAATCACTGGTACTACTGTCAATATGAATGAATTGTGACTCAATTCACAAAATACAGAAGTCAGCCAAAACATTTCAACTCCTTTATTCTCAAATTCTTTATTTGCATTTTCCCAAGAGCTTCTAAGAGGGCTATTGTTGACCTTTTTTCTTTCAAAATTCAGAAGAGATTGCCCACACGGTTAAATATTAAAAGACCAACACAACAGGATCAGTGCATTCACAAATTCAAGATTTGAAATAGGCTAAATCACATGGGAATTTATCATTATTACATAAGAAAAGTCCTACCCAGAAAGAAATCTGCAGAGGAAGAAGTGGGGCTGATCTCCCATTTCTCAAGAGTGGTTCTGCCCTTGGCTTTCTGACTTAACAGGGTCCAAAGCACTCAGTGCTTCCTTGAATTTGGTTCTATAGGTAGTATAACATAAATTTCATGTTTAAAAAAAAAATCTAATACCTAACATGAATAGTATACCTGTAAATTAGAGAAAAAAATAAAGCCCATAATTCTAAACAAATTAAGCAGATGTAAATTAAAATGAAGTGGCAAAAAATGTGAAAAACTAATAAATGTTTATGTGCCAAAGGTACCGTACAAAAATATCACTGAAAAATATTGCTATAACAGGAAAATACTGGAAACTCCTTAAATATGCATTAATGGAAAAAGAGGTAACACCTACCAGGCAGCTATAAAAAGAATGTTGTAGACCTAATTATATGAACATGAAAACAACTAAATAAAATTACACTTGTGCATTTGTACAAACATGTATGTAAATCGGGGAAGGGTGCTAATGAGGACTTTCAGCTTTTCTGTATACTTCTATATTGTCTGATCTCTTTTTATTAAAAGGATTTATTTCACGTGTCTCATTTTTTTTAAATGTTTATTTTTTAGTTGGACACAATATCTTAATTTATTTATATGTGATGCTGAGGATTGAACTTGAGGCTTAACACATGCTAGGCGAGTACTCTACCACTGAGCCACAACCCAAGCCCCTTGTCTGATCTCTTTACAGTAAGAAAGTACACAAAAGTCTAACCTGAGTAAATTTCCCCCAAAATTCAATATGAATCCCAAATAATTATTAAGCTACACAAAACCCTGCAATATTTTATTTAAACTATAATTACTTACTAAAGCTTCTGATTCAATAACAAAGTTAACTATTTCATGTATGTACTATAATGATAAAACTATTTCTAATAGAAATATACATCATATTCCTTCAACTTTTACTCATTAGGAGTCATACACAAATTGTAAATGTTAATGGAGAGTTGTAAGAAAAAAGGTTACACAAATCTGTACCTGTACTATTTGGTGTTGGAGTCTGATGATGTCCCAAGGTAGCTAATACAGGTCCAACGGGTAAGGAAGACGGACGCTGCTCTGACTTACACAACTGAGCTGGTTCTAGATTTGAATATGTGAAATAAGTTAGAGAAAACAGCCAAACACACACACTGTTGTTGACTACAATTGTTTGGGATTCAAGATCACAAAGTTCAGAAATTTCTAAAATAGTATTTTATTAGGTTTCATGCTACTCCTTCTTTCTGACCTATTAGCCTCTTAAACTCAATGATAATATGCAGGCAAGATATCAAGATACCAGCTATGATAGGCAAATGCTCTATATAACTATTTTGTAGATCCAATACATGCTTTTGTTGATAATGTGTTCTAAGTCCCAAACCACATAAAATGTGAAACAGGGCACAGTATCTCCTCTTTAGTACTCAAAGTAATATTAAGCTCATTCTTTTAAGGAGCAAAAAATTCATAAAAGGATTTCACAAAAGCATGTGAGGCACTAGGTTCGATCCTCAGCACCACATAAAAATAAAATAAAGGTATTGTGTCCACCTACAACTAAAAAATAAATGTTTAAAAAAATTAAAAATTAAAAAAAGAATACCTCCAAATTGAATATTCCTGGATTACCCTTAAGTAGATTAAGGTATGCTAAGTTTTCTTTGATAGTCATGAATGCTGGGTCAAAAAATTCTGTTCTACCAGCCAGACACAGTGGCGTACAGCCGCAATCTCAGCAACATGGGAGGCTGAGGTAGAAGGACCACATGTTCAGGGCCAGCCTTAGCAACTTAGTCAGGCCCTAAGCAACTTAGTGAGACTGTACCTCAAAAAAAAAAAAAAAAAAAAAGTTTGGGGATGTAACTCAATGGTAAATGAAGCACCCCTGGGCTCAATCTCCAGTACAAAAATAAATAAATAAATAATTCTGTCCTACTAGCAAATCCAAGTCCATGTTGCCTTCCATCTCTGAACACTAAAGCCCCTTTCATCATACTTCAAAAGTTTCCATATCAAAATACTATTAATTTCTTTTACCACTTTCAGCTGTTTTTTAAAATATTTATATTTTAGTTGTAGTTGGACACAATACACTTATTTTTTTTAATTTTCTGTGGTGCTGAGGATCGAACCTAGGGCCTCATACATGCGAGGCGAGCGCTCTACTGCTGAGCCATAACCTCAGCCCCTCAGCTGTATTATTTTTGATGATCATTTTATTTACTTTAAAAAAAACACACACAGAAAATACTAAGATTACTATAATGACCATATAAGGTAAATTTTTTCTCATCAATGAATCTGTGAAACATTTTTCCAAATACTATACCTGGAGGTAAGACAGTCTGGGAAGGCATTGTGCTGATTACAGGTTCCAAGGGACTGGGTTGATATATTGCATCTACAGGATTAATAGTACTCTGAGATAAAGAAACACAATGTAGTTATTTTTAATTAACTGTTCTTCTTGTGCTAACCCTCCCATGTGAGTAAAATGCCCCATTCCTGACAGCAAAATCCTGAAGGCAGCTATATAGATAAGGAGAGTCAAAATGCAAAGAGAAAATGAAACACCTTTTCTACACAGACATGTAAGAGTTTCTTCTAACAAAGCACAGTAAGAAAAGAAAATGAATCAATTACTGTCCAAATAAGATAGTAAAGCTAACTGGAAAAACTTAGGAGTTATAAAATGGTGTGAAGAAGATTTGAAGAAGCAAAAACAATAACCTCTCAATTCAGTGCTTCAAAAACAATTCATCATAAATATTTCTTTGGTGTTAATAAAATTTGTACCTATCATTACGCTAATGGATCTACACTATGAAGATCTCATCTTTCCATCCTAGACCACTGCTATCCACCACTCTGTGTCACACAATGTCCAGTTTTATGGTCACTCAAGGCAAAGATGTACCTTCTACTAAGTATGGGAAGAAGGCTTTCTTTTTGAGACTACAGAAAAGGAAACAAACAAATAGAAGGCATAATTTTAGAGGGGAGGAGTCCAGGTTTCTGTGATTCCAAGAAAAATTACTCTGACAGCCCAATGACATTTTAAAAACAAGACTACGCAGCTTACTGATTTTTTTTTTTTTAAATAATGGAGAAGAAGGTCTGAATGAATTTTAAATCCAGGTCATGGCTAATGACTAATCCCAAAAAAGTATCTGTAAAAACTTTAAAAAAATCAACTAACAATATTAAGTTTTTGTAGTGTTTTCAATTAATGTCTGAATAATTTAAAAAAAAAAATCAAGAAAATCCCTATCTACAAACATTTTAAATAAAATCATTAAGTCGGATCTCTTAAACCACACAAGAATTATGATTTTTGTCACTACAATAGTCCTCTTATCATAGATATTCTAACTGAGAAATAAAAGACATTTAGGAAAAATACCCTGAAAGTAATCATTATTAATCAAAAACTTAGAAAAGTAGGGAATGTTCTGAAGCACTGAGAAAGGAGCCTTGGGATTTTAATTCCTTAGACCCCTCAAGCATCTTATCTGTGGGTTTCGGTTAATCCAGCCTATAAAATAAAGAAAAAATGGATTACATGGTCTCTATGGGCTTCCTATTATTACTTTAAGATTCTTTTTTCAGATCTGGATCAAGTCATTATATAAGCATCTTAACAAGTCTTGGAGCTACTCTTTAAATTCCTTGTTACAAAGTGCTTTTCTCTAAAGGACTCCAAGTGTTTCATAAGGGCAAATCCCACCACTAATGCTCTAATCCAAAGGAATGAGAATATATCACCTCCTTAACCCTCTCATTGAAGAGACTAATAAATAAAGTAACTTTGGAATCAAAGTAATCAGGTACCAGAATTTTGTCTTTTGGATATAATCTTCCCAAATGAAATGTTCTAATATTAGGCTTGTCAACTCAAGAAAATATCTTTTGAAACTTCTTTACATTGTTAAATGAAAATTACGGCAATTACTGTTTTGAACTAAGCTCCTATATTTAGCCCCAACAGACGAGACCAAACCAAATGGAGTCACTCATGCTAAATGCTGCATAATCAAACTGAAATTCAAAGGAGATCAGTTTTTCCAGAACATAGGAGATTCCCATCTATCTGATTCAGTGTAATAATGAAGTCCTCTCTGCTTTAATCCAGGTTACAAAAAAAAAAAAATAACCTGATGTTAACCAATCAGTTTTTCTACTGTTCAGTTTCCTTGTTCCCAACCTACAAAACCTATTGTTCTGTACTGCCCAGTAGATCTCATTCTATTTTAATAAGATGGAGGTTCTACAATCCATGAATCACAAATAAAAGCTAATAAGATCTATAACTAAGTTTGTTAGTTATATATATAGTTTTGTCTTTTTGACAGCATGTACATTAAAAGTATTCAATCTTATTGTCTTTGACAGAAAACAGTAACTATTCTACATTTATTATGGTTCTTGGTCAATCAACTTCAGGTTAAAGTATGTAAAATTATATTCTATATACTGCTTTGAAAAATGTGCAGGAGTTTCAGAAGTTCAAACAAATAATCTTCTGTTCCTAATTTGTTAGGACATTAATGAAACTCATGCAAAATAATATAATGAACTATATATACATATAAGTACACACAGCTAACATTTATTGAATACTATGTGATCACTCTGTACCTTATAACATTTGAAGGCAGAACCTTTCAGCTTTCTTTATCAATAAGGAAAATAAGAATCAGAAAGGTTAAGTAACTTGCTTAAAGATCTCAGGTAGTAAGCAGTAGGGCTGTAATGTAAGTCCAAGCAATGTGGATCTAAGACATCATGAACAGTTCTTTTCTTCAAAATAAAAACTCTCAAAGAAAAATGCTTCAATTCTTGGGCAAATGAATCAAATATGTTTGCTTTCAACAAGTTTAAATTGCCTCTGAGTATAAACTTGACAAATGCTCATAACTGCAAGTAATCAAACATTTTTGGTATGCTTTATAAAATCCTGTCCATTTTTTAACACAATTAACTTTGGCTTAAAGGGAAAGGACATGAAAATAACTGCCAACACAAGCTTCCTTAGGAGCAGTCTTTGGGGACCAGGAGTTACTGGACAACGAACACATACAGTCCTTTCCCATGAGGCTAACAATCTTCAATGATATCTCAGTAAGATATTATGTTGTATTTATTTCATGTAATTGTATTATATCACTAAGGGCTCACACTTTGAACACAGAAACAGAAATTATACTGTATTTTAATTCATATTTCAAAGATATTTCTTGTATTTTGCCTTCTTAAGAAATATGCAAACAACACAGATATCTAACTTCTGCTTTCCATTTTAAGCCAAATATAAAAATAACATGCTCATCCTTTCATAAACATGAGATGGTTGTGAAGATTTACAAAATGTTTCCAGATCTCAGACAAGCTGACATTTGTAAAGTTTCAGGGCAAAAAGAGAGGCTACTTCCTGCTTATGCCTTATTTAACTATAAAAGCTGTTTTCATACCATGATTAACCCATCAAGTAACACATGCAAAGTGATTCAATTGAAACCGATACTTAGAAATAATTTTAAGATTGTCATTTCCTCTCCAAATGATTGTTGAAAGATGGCCAACTTAAAGAGCTCACAGAAAATTGCAAGAGTTAATAACAAAAAGCAGTGAGTAAGTGAAAAAAGGAATTTGCGTTGAAAAATGAGTAGAAATTCAGGTTTCTCCTGACATGACTGGTTATAATGCTCTGCAGAAGTAAAAAGGAAACAAAAGATTAGATTAAACTTACTATAATTCCATCTGCGTGCTTCTCCGCATTACTCTGGTCCTTTAGGAAAAATGTTAAGAATATTAACTTTATTCTTTTATTTAAGTAATCCCATGTGTACTTTTTCTACTAAGAAAGCTTATTTTACTACATAAGCAATAGTGTTAGAATACTACAATGTATTACTACAATGTATGTACAAATTCCATTTGTACATTCCTAGCCAAACATAACTCCATTGCTAGCTACAAAACAATCAACATCAATAGCATGACAATTCATTTTCTACATAGACATTTTAATTAAGTTTCCTGAGGAAATAACCTATTAAACTGAAGTCATAATTGCACTAACAATTAAAAGTGATGTACTAATTTAGGGTTGAAGATCCTAAATATTTCTTAGCTTAAACTTTATAGTCATTTATGCCAATCCCTACAATTCCCAAACTCTCACTGTACTTTCAAGGTGTGGCAATCACATACCCTGAAAAACTTGAAATGGACACAACTGCACATATTCGGGTTGCTGGTGTCAGAATTAGACTATTACTTCCTAAAAAAAAAAAGTAATTGTTTTTGTTCAGTAACCATAATTGCAATATCTGTACTATGATGATGTTGCAGCCAATACTTAAAACCTGGCAAGCATTTTAATGTATATTAACTCATGTATTCCAACAACAACCCGATAATATAGGTTCTATTATTATTATTCCCCCTGACAGATGAGAAAACTGAAATAGAGGGAGCCAGGGTTCCAATACAAGCAGTCTCATTCCAGAATTCATGCTCTTAACAAATAAGCTATTTTGCCTTGCCACTACAAGGATATACTTAAAGGGTGGGAAGGTGATGGAGTTGCCAACACACACTCATTCCTCATGTGGAAGGAACCTAAGAAATCATCTTATATATCTTGAACTCTTCAATCCTCTTCCTTCCCACTCTCCTGAGCGCCTCAGTGACCAACATGGATGCATACAGGAGAAATGAGCAATCTTTTGGGACTGTCTCATCCTCAAGAGATGAAAAAATACTTCCTGGACAAGTACTATATATATATATATATATATATATATATATATAGGAAGTAACCATCAAATATTTGGGGGAGAAAGTCTGTACTGAGAGAAATGTAGGGAAGAAAAAAAAACACCTTAAAAATGTTTAAAGGTAAGATGATTATTAAGATTGGTATATTTTTAGAATACTATGACCTAAAAAAAACTATCTTTTTTGAATTTCTTCATGTCCATTCGTGTAAAATGGTTGCTACATTGCCCAGGCTGGCCTCAAATTTGTAACCCTCTTGCCTCAGCCCCCAAGAATGGTGATTAAAAGTGTATGCCACCACAATCTGCATAAAATTTAGTTTTTATTAATAAAGGGAAAACTGGGCTGGGGTTGTTGCTAAGTGGCAGAGCACTTGCCTAACATATGTTAGGTACTGGGGTTGATTCTCAGCATAACATGAAAATAAATAAATGGCATTGTGTCCATCTACAACTAAAAAAAAGCTTTTAAAAAATATTAATAATAAAGGGAAAACTAATGCTCTATCTTTTGCTTTATCTAAAGGTATAATAATATAAATGTAATACAAAAATAAATACATCAGATAGACACAGAAATATAATAGTATTCCTTCTATTAGATACCTTGGAGAGATTCCAAATATAAAGCCAAGAGAAACCAGGTTTCGGGTTGTCACAGTCCCCCCAACCCTTTTTTTCTTTTTGGTAAAAGAACAATTCTCTAAAGTAGCAAACATAATCGCAGGGGGGGGGGAGTTCACATTTTAGTATTATGCAGTTAATGTATTTAAACAAAATGCTTAAGGTTTTAACCGTAACCTATCTGGAAGCTTTCAAGTTTTTTATTGTTGTTTTTCTTTGTGATACTAGGGATTTGCCCCCAGTGCCCCTGCAAGCTAGGTAAGTGCTCTACTGTTGAGTTATATCCTAGCCCTCTTTATTTTTTGAGGTAAGTTCTCAACTACGTTGCCCAGGCTGTCCTCAAACTTGTGATCACACTTCTGCTTCAGCATCCCAAGTCAGTGGGATTACAGGCAAGTACCACTGCTCAAAGTTTGAGTAGAAACTAATCTTTGGTTTTGATTTTAAACATAACAGCCAACCTATATCTCATTTATTTGTGATTTTTTTCCAGAAATCTATACACCAAAGCATCAAACAAGAGCAATCTGAAGACTTAGGATAATTTCTTTTAAGTATATGTGCAGAAAAGAATTAACATAGCAGTCCTGGAATGGCTCCTTAGAAAAACATGATTGCAAAACTGTCCTTTTAGCTGGTATCTGGTAACTCTGGTTATAGGAAAGTTCTCACCAGCATAACTGATTAGAGTGGCTCAACCTAGCTATGCTGTTTATGGAAGCACTAAGGTTTATGCTGAATACCCGATTTTCTTCTTTAAATCTGGAATGGTATTAAGTGTCAAGAGAGTGCATAGGTGACAATCCTCCAATAAAATCTCTAGGCAATGGGTGTCTAATGAGTTTTCCTAGGTAGATAACAAATCATGATTTGTTACTGGAGGAATTAAATACACCCTATATGACTCCACCGGGATAAGACTCTTGCTTGGTTTGCTCTGGACATTTCCTTGTGTCTTTTCATTTTCCTGATTTTCATTTTGTAGTAGGTCACAGCTGTGAGTCCTTCTAGATAATCTCCAAACCCACAGGTGGTCTTGGGAACCCTTGGCATGATGCATGTATTTTACAAATTCCTGAAAGTACCTCCATTGAATTCTCATAATTCAAGTTGACATTTTCCCTTTTATTTGCACAACTAAGTTAACTATGTATTTAAAGCACCCAAAGTTTCACTAATTCTGAATACAAAGAAAGTTGAAAATAAATTACTGAAACTTACAGAGAAAGAAAAATGGAAAAGAAAGTGTCTTGCTCAGATGAAAATTTAATTGATTTTTGGTTTTCCTCTTCTAATTTCTAAATATTAGACTGATTTTCCAAAAGGCTTTCTTAGAATTATAAACATATGGAAGCTTAAAATGTCCAAAAATAACTCAATTTAAAACATTTTTTTTTTAAAGAGAGAGAATTTTAACATTTATTTTTTAGTTTTCAGAGGACACAACATCTTTGTTTGTATGTGGTGCTGAGGATCGAACCTGGGCGGCACGCATGCCAGGCGAGCGTGCTATCACTTGAGCCACATCCCCAGCCCAAATAACTCCATTTAAAGGCAGAGACCAGGTTAGGGTTGTGGCTCAGTGGTAGAGCGCTAGCCTAGGACAGATGAGGGCTGGGTTTGATTCTCAGCACCACATAAAAACAAGTAAACAAGAACAAATAAATAAAGGTTAAATTCTTTTAAAAAAAAAAAAAAAAGCAGAGATCAGTCTGGGGTTGTGGCTCAGTGGTAGAGCACCTGCCTCACATGTGTGATGCTTTGGGTTCAATTCTCAGTACCACATGTAAATTAATGAATAAAATAAAGGTTCATAAATAATTTAAAAATAGGGCTGGGAATGTGGCTGAAGCGGCAGCGCACTCGCCTGGCATGCGTGCGGCCCGGGTTGGATCCTCAGCACCACATACCAACAAAGATGTTGTGCCCGCCGAAAACTGAAAAATAAATATTAAAAAATTATCTCTCTCACTCTAAAATAATAATTTAAAAAAATAATAATAATTTAAAAATATTTTTAAAAAAGGGCAGACATCATGTTCCCTACTTTTGAATCCACCTGGATTCAACATTGTGACTGTTATCTACCAACCAGTATAAGAGTAATGATTATTCTGACTTCTAAATGCCACAAACCTCTATCTTGTTTTATTGGAACCCTAGTGCGCTGTGAGAAAGCCCAAGCCGTCATGAAAAGAACTATATGGAGAGGAACGTAACCCTCCCACCCCACCCAACTTCTTAGCCATGTAAGTAAGCCATCTTGAAAGTGGATCCTCCAGCCTCTAATCAAGCCAAGGTTGAACAAGGCAGAGACAAGCCATGAAGCCTACCCAAAATGCAGAACTGTGCGGAAAGTAAGTGACGAAGTTATTTTAAGACACTCAAAATTTGGGGTGAATTGTTAAAAGGCAATAGATTACTGACAAAGTATATCACATCTAAAATCAGCACTTCTTAGTACAGTTTAAGATAAACATCTAACATTTCCCCCCTAAAAAATTCTTGATTAGTAGCATATGCTACTCTAAATCAGTTATTATTTGAGTTGCCATTGTGGTTTATTTTTTAAGGCAGTGTCAAATCTAAACCCACAGGCTGTTACATGCCTTACTATCAACCACTCCCATATAAATTCTAGGATTTTTGTTCTATTACACTCACTTTTTCTCTTTCTCCTTTCTTGTTTTTATTTTCTAAATAAACTACAAGTTGCCTTTTAATGGGTGAGGTAAAGCAAAATCTCAACCAGAGATTCTATTGAATTCAATATTAATTATTTTAATGAAACAAAGAGTCCAATGTTACTCCCTACTTAAATTACACCAGATTTATTTGGTTATAAGTCCCTTCATTCTTATACATGATGGTTATTCTCTTTTTTTGAACATACCAGCATGACTGAGATCTGAAAATATGATAGTCAACAAAAACACGAGCACCACATAATTTTGGGAGACTTTTGACCATAATTATAAACTCTGGTATTTTTTAAACCATGTCCATCATTTAAAAAAAAAAAAAAAAAACATGAAACATATCCCCACCTCTCTAATGAGGCAATGTAGCCTAGTGAATGCCCTCTTAATTTTATGCTCATAAACTTCCTAATTATATGTTGAGAAGATATTAAAAGGGACTGGGATTCTGGATATTCATTCACAAAACAAAAAATAAACGAATTTGGGTCCCACCTCATATCACAACACAAATATTAACTCAAAGTAGACTTAAAGAGCTAAAATTAAAAAAACATGGGAACAAAATCTGTGTGACATTAGATCACGCTATGATTTCTCAGATATGCCAACAAAGACACACCAATAAAAGAGACTGATAAGTTGGACTTCACCAAAATTAAAACCTTCTATACTTTAAAAAATACTACCAAGCAAATGAAAAAAAAAATACTTACAGACTTGAAGAATAAAATTTTATTTCTGCTAGAATATATATCAGCCTCAAAAAGGTTTAAATTAGTCAACTTCTTGGATCACTGTGAAGTCTTAGATGGCATTATCACCCTCCTTTATTAACCTGCCAATGAATAATAGTCCTCTAAAGTGGATATGACAATTTATATTTCCATCACTGGATAGAAGTTCTCCCATTTTTATCAAAATGTTATATTGTCACTTTAAATTTACCTTCCTAAATTTTTTTATATTTAAGAAATACTTAGGGCTCAATATGTCTGGTACTAAGAACATTACAAATAGTAATCCATTTAAATTTCACAATATAAGTAAGAGGTAGGTACTATTAATATCACTGTTTTACACAGAATATAAAGCAAAGCACAGAACGGATAAACAAACTTGCTCTGGTGATGAAACTGGTATCAAACTCATTCTGGGTCCAGAGTCTATGTTCTTTAAGATTGTGCAATGTTGCTTCTTATTATTACTTCAAAACATTGTATCTTTTTTAAAAAAATTTTTAATTGTGGATGGACACAATACATTTATCTATCTATCTATCTATCTATCTATCTATTTATTTATTTATGTGTGATGCTGAGGATCAAACCCAGTGCCTCACATGTGCCAGGCAAGTGCTCCACCACTGAGCTACAACCCCAGCCCCCAAAACACTGTCTCTTAATCACAGATCAGTTAACTGTTTAGGTTTGCCTAACAATTAACATATAAGAATTTTCCGGGCTGGGGTTATGGCTCAGTGGTAGAGCACTTCCCTGGCACATGTGAGGCACTGTGTTCAATCCTCAGCACCACATAAAAATAAATAAATAAAATAATGTGTCCACCTACAACTAAAAACAAAATTTCATCACAGCATAGTAAAGGCAGCTAAATGAAATGAATCATACCTATAGTGGAAATATAGGTATAAATATAAACCAAGCAATCATTTAAAACATGGGGCTCTGAATAAATAGGATCAGTATCCATAAAAGAAGAATGACCAGAGAACTTATGCTTTCTCTGTGTACATACATCAAGGAAAGACTATATGAATTTACAGGGTGTCTCCAGACCAAAAAGGAAGCCCCCCCATCAGAAATGAAAAAGGTCAGAGCCTTGATCTTGAACTTTCAGCTTCCAAAATGAGAAATTTCTGTTGTTATCTATTTTGTTATGGCATCTCAGGCTGCCATAAGATTTGACTCTTGGGCTGGGGATGTGGCTCAAGCGGTAGCGCGCTCGCCTGGCATGCGTGCGGCCCGGGTTCGATCCTCAGCACCACATACCAACAAAGATGTGGGGCCGCCCAAAACTAGAAAATAAGTATTAAAAATTCCTTCTCTCTCTCTCTCTCTCTCCTCTCTCACTTTAAAAAACAAACAAACAAAAAAAAAGATTTGACTCTCATGTATAGATAACATATAAACAAATATACTGTGTAAATTTGGTTAGTGATACAAAACCATGATTAAAAGAAACTAGTGGGAGTTAGAAATTATTTTAGGTAGAGGTGCCAGGGAGGTTTTTCCAAAGGCATTTTATTTGGCAGAAATCTGAATCAAGTGAAGTAAGGGAGTGGAGTCTGGTGGAAATCTATGGGAAGTTCCCTCCAGGTGAAGGGAAAAGCAAGTAAAAATCCCTAGAACAGGCCAATGTTATTGAATGGTATGATTAAGCAAGGATAGGAGAAAAGAAGAGAGTAGTGATGGCTCAAATGGTATGTTATGCTAAGTAGTTTAGATTTCATTTCAAATAAAATGGAAAAGCATTTTTGATTAGGCAAGTAATATGGTCTGATTTACAATTAAATTAGGTTAAAGACATACACAGTTCATATGGGCACAGGAGTGTTGTATTTGCACATAAAAAACCCTTAATAATAAAACTTCCTTCTAAAATTAAATAAAAAGTCCAACTCCCATTTATTTGGCCTGAATCACTCATGAAGGACCTTGAAATGTATAGGTCTATTGAGCTGGATGAAAATAGGTTGCATGTTCAGACTAAATTATAGAAAGTTCTAGAAAAGAGCTTTAATACATTGAACCAAAACACACTTCAAAGAGAAGCACACCAAAAATGTTCTTGATGAGTGGCTAAAATGTGAAAAAGCCTGGAGTGAACTGTTGTACAGCTATCTAAAATCCTGAGTGGTTTCCAGAGATGACTCCAACAGGCCTACACACTGTATCACTTCTTCTTCTAACATCTTCCAGAGAAGGAAATATGAATGCCCTAAAATACCTATTCAACTACACACTTTTGGTGTAGTTTACTATTTAAATATGTACAGGTTTTGGGTAACTGTAGGCCTGCATTCACCCATGTAATTCAAGAGCCAAGAAAAACTAAACCAAAAATCTTACTCCTTTCATACCTCCAGCCCTATCCTCCCTTCTTCTTAGCTTCAGAATAGATTCTGATCCACAAAAGTAGATGAAAAGTTTAGAGACATATAGGAAGCAGGCATAGTGGTCAAGAATACCTATAAGGTGAATGCAAGCCCTAAGTTCTGACACTTAAGTATGCTAGTGTTGAGTTTGGCTTCAAAAGAAAATGACAATTCACTCCCCCTTTATCCTATAAGCATAATATCATTACTACTCAAACAAAAACTGATTGCCCTATCCCACTGCATCAATAACAATGCTCAGAAAAAAAGTTTCCATAATTGAACAAACATCTATGTGTAACTGAGTAAGTAAAGCAGACCAACAATGGAAAAACTCACATAAACATCATTTTTAACCTGGCCACTGAGCTATCTACCTATGTTTTTAGCTGCAGGATAAAAATAGGTAGGAATAACAAGGGGAAAATCTTTTGTAAAAAGTAAGCTCATTCACAAAAAATAAAAATTCTTTTGAGAATTTTAGGCAATCAATATTTAAGTAAATCTTTCCGAAAAGCAGACAATATACATAAAAATTTTAACCCACAATAATACAGAATATGTTTTGTTCCATGAGTAAAAACATCAATTAGAGCACTGGTTTCATTGATGTACTTCAATACTAGAAAAAAAAAACAAAAAAAAACCCCTATATCAAACATAATTTTTAAAATGCCTGCATTATATTCTTTCTGCATTATGGATAAGAAAAATGACTGCTAAAATTTAATTCCCTTATATATTCTAAAAAAAAAAAAACTTTTGAAAAAGATTTTGCACAAGATGGCCTTGTTCCAAGCTATAAAAATGGGTAAAAGGGAAAGAAAGGGTGAGTAATTCAAACATGTTCCTTCCCTTCCCAACCACTGAGAAAAAGTGTTACCAGCACAGACACACATAAGTAAGATAACATCCAAACAAAACGGTTGTTCAATATCAGTAACTCCACAATTCAGTTTATCATAGAAAGGTAGTATTTCGGAACTTGAGTTTTGTGGTTATTAAAAGGAAAATGCCATTAGAATTTCTGAATCCATTACATGAAGGTAATCGAAAGTAAATTTACTTACTTTAGCAATCTGCAGCAACACAATGCAGTGTTTAATAGATTCTACCATGCTCTATAAAAACAAAACACGGATTTTAGGATCTTACTTTAAATAAAATGGTTGCATAATGTTGAAGCTTAAAAATACAAAAAAAATCAGTTCAAATGCGAAAGTCTATACTATATAAAAGATGCCCTCCTCTTGAGGATATCCCATGATTAGTCTGTCAGGTAATGTCAGAAGGCTAGTACACTATATAAGTCGAATCTCAATATATTTTAATTACAAGAGAATATACACAGGTTGAGCATTCCTAATCCAAAAATTAAAAATAAAAAATCTAGCTGGGTGTGGTGGCTCACTCCAGTAATCCCAGATGCTCAGGAGGCTAAGACAGGAGGATCGTGAGTTCAAAGCCAGCCTCAGCAATGGTGATGTGCTAAGCAACTCAATGAGACCCTATCTCTAAAATAAAATACAAAATAGGGGTGGGGATGTGACTCAGTGATTGAGTGCCCCTTAGTTCAAGCCCTAGTTCCACTCCCCCCCAAAAAAATAAATCCAAAATCTGTAACTTTTTGAATGTTGACAGGATGCCAGAGTATAAAATTCCATACTTGATACAATAATATTTTGTGCAAAAATATTCTCAAATCCAAAATACCCCAAATTAGAACTACTTCTGGTCCCAAGCATTTCGTATAAGAGATACTCACTCAACCTACACTAGTGAATGAATATTACCTTTTATCCAAGGATCTCAGGCAAGACCAGAAATAGATAAATTGGTACATCAAGTCAATTTCAATTACAGGGATTATTTTATTGGTTTAAATTCCTCTGGATGCTAATATAATTCTTAAAACATCCCTGTAAAAATCCATAAAAACTAAAGCCTCAATTGTTCTTATCAATATCAGCAACTTAATACAGAGATAACATATACAACACTTTATAATACAGTCAGTTTATCAAACACATAACTTACATTTGTTGTTTCTTTGAGAGTTTCAATTTTCTGTGAAAAAATAAGTTTAAACAAAAATAATTAGAGATATAAATATACTAGTTTGTTTTTGCTGATTAGTCATAAAGAATTTTACTAGAAATGTATTCATTATTTTAAGCAAATGTAAAATTATGAAGAAAGTACTTGATTATATTTTTAAATCTAAACAGAACATTAAAATTAAAAACTCAAGACATTTTTTGGTTAAACCGTCTTAAATGGAATTCATATGATTCAATTCAAGATTTGTAAGACTAATATAAAACTTTCAATTCCTTTTTTGAATACAAGATTTTTTTTCTGTAGGTTTCATTATGTAATTTTAAAATGTTTTCTTGCAGAATCATCTTATCCTTTCCAAAACTGTTTTAAAAATGACAGTGGACTGGACTGATGAAATTTAGAATTAACGGTAGGTGAATTAGAACCTGAGTCACTACTATTAACAAGTCTTAAAGGGTCAAATGTAAGGATACAGTCAAAAAAAGGGAAAATAATAACAACAATATTGCATCAAGAAGTCTAGCCAGGAGAGGGAAAATACTAATTTAGAAAAGAGAAAACAACCTGGAGGCAGTGGCACATGCCTATAATTTCAGTACTAGGGAGGCCAAGTTCACAGGAGGATCGTGAGTTCAAAGCCAGCCTCAGCAAAAGTAAGGTGCTAAGCACCTCAGTGAGACCCTATCTCTAAATAAAATACAAAATGGGGCTGGGGATGTAGCTCAGTGGTTAAGTGCACCCGAGTTCAATCCCTAGCACACCCCCGCCAAAAAAAAGAGAAAACAATATGCAAACTACAAAGTAGACACCAGAAATCCAAGGATGGGAAGAACAGTAGAACTATAATTAAAGCATGTTTCCTTATATGTCAGTTGTTTGTTCTGACAATTCTTGCCCGTTTATTTATTTGTATCTCAAGTGACCATATGTATATTTAATAAAATATACTTTCCACCTTCAACACATTATATATGAGAGAACTTACAAAACAGGAATAATATTAAAGTTTTGTATACTAATCTTTTAATTACAAAACCATAACAAAAACTCACTAGAAAATTCCCATAAGGTTCACTGACAGTACTATTACAATAAGTCAATAATACTATCATAATAGTCAAAATACTGATTGGTGTATCTGTTATTTTCCAAAAGGCTTTTTAAAGTCAAAATCACGGTGATTTAAGTTACCTTTCTCTGTTCATCATCTTTACAGTTTTGAAGCTTGTCATCAAAAAGCTACAGGATTAAGAATTAAAAAAACAGGTTATAACATCAATCCACTTTAGTGCACTGTATACAGTTCCTAAACACAGAAGCAAAAATTCTTAAACATATTTCTTCCATAGAGATGTATATGCATTTTCAATATAGCTTATATTTTTGGCATTGTATTAAGTTATGTTCCATCATGTGATTGACTGCAAACAGTAAAAGTCAATCATTCAGGTAGAATTACAAAGAAAACACACCACTCTTAAGAACTTAAAATATCAATTCAAACTCTGCTCTGTCTGCTTTGTCTCCCAAGTTTATCAACACTCCCTTTCTTCCTAAGACCTCTGCTTTTAATTCATTTTAAAGTAGAAATTAAAATAATTTTGTAAATAGTGGAACATTGCTTTTAATCTTTTCAAGCAGTATAATTAAACTTCCAATTACTTGGAGACCAATATTCCCCTAAATTGCAGTTTAATTATTTATCTTATTTGTATCTACTGGGAACTGAAGATGGGTGTAGGGAATACCTAGGAAGATAACATTAAACCTAGATCTGAATTTTCTAAATAAACAAACAAATAAGTAAATAAATAAGATAATTTACTCTGCAATGATAAAAGATAGATATCTAAGCTGTCTCGCCTACACTTTTCCCTAAAATTAAAAAAAAAAAGGTCTTAGAGACTGAGCCACTAAACCTTACCAGTTTCATAGAAATTTTAAACAGAATATGAATGTAAAATAAGCCAAGTCTTATTTTCTTCTAATTACATCTAGATATTTACCTTTTCCTTAATGACCAAAAAGCACATTATGTAAATATGCTCTTTACCAATATAGAAGTCAGCTTTAAAACTGCTGAAGAACCATATGAGGACTATAAATTCATAGCAAGAAAGAATTTTTACTCAAAATCAGACTCAGTAACATTATGTCTTTATATCAATTCAATATATAAACTTATGTCATACCTTTAGTTGTTCTATCAAGATTTGTAGGTAAGCATCTGCCTCTGTTAGTTTCTTGTCAAAGTCTTGGACACTAGGAACAAATCCTGAATCCAAACCCTAGAGAAAAATAAAATTTGCAATAAATCTAGCAGTACCCAAGCAATGTTTAATAAAACAAAATATTTCAACCTTCATAAATGAAAACATTTTGTTTTTTAAAAAGAAATAGTACTTATACAGAAATATTTGTTTTCTAAATTCTCCAAAAATAATGACACATCAACTTTCCTCTCAGCTTCAAGTGCTACTCTAGTCTCATCAATTACATGTGCAAATGGCCAAATGAAGATTTAACCTGCTCTTTAGAATCAACTTTTTTAACCAACAACCCATAATTGGCTCTCATTCACCACAAGAACAACAGTGACTTAGCTAAAGAAACATAAAAACTACCTAGAATACTATTTACCCATTTTTTTGTTGTTGTTCAGTACATTCCTCTATTCCCTTAATCTTAACTTCATATTCTCACTGTTTAGTTCTCCCATTCCTTAACATTCTCCATCAGCTCTGTATCTCCCTTATTTAAAAAAGAACCTTAGGGGCTGGAACTATAGCTCTGTGGTACAGCACTTGCCTAGCACTTGTGAGGCACTGGGTTCCATCCTCAGCACCACACAAAAATAAATAAAATATAGGTATTGTGTCTATCTACAACTAAAAATTCCTTTTTTACAGTTATTCTATTAAAAATTTAAAAAGAACCTTAAAATCCTCGCTTCTTCTAACATGCCCCTTTCTAAATGAAAGTGACAAAACTTCTCTCCTAATTAAGTTCCCTACTTACTTTCACCCTTGGCACGAACACTACACTCTGGACATGGTGTAAATGTTTACTTATTTAGAGGACCCACTTATTTCTCAGTTTAAAAATTCAGCCATGGTATGTTCTACTTTTTGTCACATAAACCTTAAATTCCAGGAGAACATGAATTTCTATGTTTTAACTTCACTCAAAGGTTCTTAATCAGCTCTGCCTGAAAAACACATCAATCCTAGATATAAAGAACAAAACAGGGGGCTGTGGATGTGGCTCAAGCGGTAGCGCGCTCGCCTGGCATGCGTGCAGCCCGGTTCGATCCTCATCACCACCTACAAACGAAGATGTTGTGTCCGCCGAGAACTAAAAAATAAAAATATTAAAAATTCTCTCTCTCTCTCTCTCTCTCCTCTCTCTCTCTCTCTCTCTCTCTCTCCTCTCTCACTCTCTCTTTAAAAAAAAAATTCTCTCTCTCTCCTCTCTCACTCTCTTTAAAAACAAAACAAACAAAAAAACAATCATTTTAAAAAAAAAAAAAAGAACAAAACAGTTGAAGAAAACAACATTATCAGCTTACCAAATAGGCATGCCCAGTTGTCACATAGTTAAGCAGGGGAATAGGATAAGGAAATATTACTACCAGAATCCTAACCCAAGCCAGGCTTGGTGGCACACCCCACAAGCCCTAGGGACTTGAGGGCTAAGGCAGAAGGATCACAAGTTCCAGATCAGCCTCAGCAACTTAGCGAGACACTCAGCAACTTAATGAGACCCTGTCTCAAAAAAAAAATTTTAAGTATTTTTTAGTTGTAGTTGGACACAATGTCTTTATTTTTATGTGGTGCTGAGGACTGAACCCAGCGCCTTGCACGTGCTAGACGAGCACTCTACTGCTGAGCCAACCCCAGCCCTTGTCTCAAAAATTTTAAAATTAAAATTAAAAAAAAAAAGGACTGGGGTTGTAGTATCTCCCATAGTTCAGTGGTAGAGCACCTTCTGAGTTCAATCCCCCGTACCCACCCCCCAAAAAAATAAATAAAGAGTCCTATCCCAACTACATAACTCCGTATACTAAATGGGTGAATATAGGAGGAACAGCTCAGCATACCTATCTCAAAGTTGACCTTTTCTTATCTTCTCTTTCAATCAAAAAATTGATTCTAGATGAGCTCATTTTCACATTTCCCACAATATAGTAAACCGAGGTTAAAGTTTATATTACAGCAATACTTCATCTTTGCACATATAACACTTCTATTAATAGTATTAAAGCATTTCACAGCCATTATCTCAAAACAAATTGAGATGGTTGGGTCTTATGGAAAGGACAGTGGGTTGGCAAACCTAGTTTCTAATTTTGGCTCAGGCCCTAAAAAGGCACCATGGCTCTCTATCTAACCTTCTGTCTTCTTTCTACCTCCTCCTCCTCCTATTATTATTGCGGCAGCTATTACATATGCCAAAGACAATGACAGCCAACACTATCAATTATTACTCTTGCTATTGTTGTTATTCTCAATCTAAAATTTGGATTCTGAGCCAAAACTTAGAATTTTACTAAGTCCTGTTAAGAATGTGGTAGGAAAAAAAAAAAACAACTTGTAATTCTTTTGTTTTTCAAAATTCAAAGGAAATAAATCTGCCTATTCGTTTTTTCACATATATGTAAAAAAAAAAAACTGCTTGAACCAGTATATATGTGATATTATATATGAAAAAAGCAGTTTAAGAACAAAAAAATCATAACAAACAATGTACACACAATCTAGATATATTTATAAAATTTGGTTAAAGATCTTCATTTTTTAAATAGATAATCTAAAGAACTTTCTATTAGAAACATTTGATTTGTCAAGTATAATAAAGATGAAGAAAAGGAAAGATAAACATATAACATTTCATGGATATTATAGTAGAAGGGAGCTATTTCTTTCCCTGTTATCATGCTACAGAAAAATTAGAAGGAATGCTTGGCCTGGCTTTTGTTTTATTCTGTTTTTCACAGAATATTATAACATGATTATCAATGATTTAACTAAAATCAGCTACATACATCATTCTTGCTAAATATTTTAAAAGATCAACAACATATTCATAAGTGAAAAGGTGAGGCATCTACGTGAGAGGGGAAATATAAACTTTAAGACTCCCTTTTGAAACCATTTAGAATTACCACTATAAAAGTCTGATTAACATATTCTATTGAACAAATCACTATTAGATTAAAAATCTTCCAGGAAATAAAAAGAAACAAATTTACATTACCTCAATCTGAATCCTATAATTAATTCTTTAAAAATGATCCTTTGATGTTGCTAGAATCATATATGAACCTCACTCATCTCTCCTCTCAATCCTGAATCTGAATAGTCTTCCGAAACTTTCCTTTACTTTAAGAATAATCTCCATGCTTTTCAATATCCAATATTCAAAGATCTACTCAAACCATTTTTCTTCAGGTAATATACAATGGAAAGTTTCATAATGACAGTTATCAGAATTGGCCTAACCTCTTTTGCATAGTAATCCATAATTCTGCATGTACTCAAAAAGAAAATCCTTTAACTCTTCTACAACTGATAACATATACAAACTTATCAAAAAAAACTTATAATTAAACTGTTAATAAGAATGTACTAGAAAAAAAGTATCACAAGTTTCATTATCTGTCACCTACTCTAACTTTCCATTCACAGAAGTTACTTTTATAATGTCTTTGAGTCTCTAGTCTTCATTTGAATCTCTTGAGATAATAGAGACTATTTCATAAAAATTATCTTGAATTATCTGTTCCTCTTTCCATTCAACATTTAGAACACTGAGGCACTGCATTTAATCATAATAATTCTTTTCAATGGAGTTTTATTTTTAAACAGGACTAATACAATCCTTTATCACACTGAGGGTGTTCTGTCTTCCCCTTAAAAGAACTGAGAACAGGGAAGGACTGCACACTTCTTGAGATCAAGTAGTCTGACAGCAGATATACATTCTAATATTCTGGTCATGTTTTATGGTTACACTTAATGGTTGATTTCTCTAAAAGATTATATGAAGGGCAGGCATGTACCATTCAGTCATCACTGCATCCTGCAGTGCTAGCTCACTGTTGCAGTGTTAAATGAACACATGCAGCCTGGCTGCAGCATCTGGCAACTGTCAATCACAATACCAGTCTTCCCCTAGTTTCTTTTGCCTTTCTGTTCTGATTCTCTTTTCCTTTCTCTGTTCCCTCCCTTCTTTTCTCCTCTATCCATGTTCTTCAGCAGTTAACTGAAGTGATTATGTTAAATTGTTGGCAATCAGGACCAAAGAGGTTATTGCTCCTTAATTTGTGTCATAGCCTATAAAGTGACAATTTCTGTAGGGATTCACTTACAGTTTAAACACTGCAATTATAGGGAAATAAATACAAATTTTCTTCATTTAACAAGAAATTGAGATAGAAAAATCTCCATAGAAATTAAATTTCAATCTAATCATAAAAATTAGAAATATATATAAAGAAAAAACCCCACTTATGGGTTAATATACTAAAAGCAAAATAGTCTCTAGCTTTCAAGAGTTCTTTGCTAATAAAGAAAACTAAGGGGCTGGGATTGTGGCTCAGCAGTACAGCGCTCACCTAGCATGTGTGAGGCATGTGTGAGGCATATGTGAGGCCCTGGGTTCGATCCTCCGCACCACATAAAAATAAGTAAATAAAATAAAGATATTGTGTCCAATTACAACTAAAAAATAAATATTAAAAAAAATTTTTAAAATAAAGAAAACTAAAATAAATACATAGTCATGGTGAATAACAGATAATTCTTTATCAGTCATGATCTACACATCCAGTTTAACATATAGAGAGAAAAACGTCAAGCCCAATCTACAGGAACCGCTTTTCTCAGAAAGGACTTAAAAGCTAACAAATCAGTAAAAATTAAATCAATTCCTGATAAATTACTTTAGCTGGGACACTAAACACTATTTAAAATGTATACTTAAAAAAAGAGAGAGAGAGAGTGAGTACTACAAGGGAAGTCCTTAAAACTGCCTGAAGTACAAGCTGCTTTGGAGAGATACTCCCTTAAGTAAAACTTCACAGGAGACAACTTTTGAGACAGGCAGTAAAAGCTTTTAAAGTAATTCCTGTTAACAGAGGAAGAGAAATGACACTGGAAGTAAACGTCATTTAGGGTCTTCTTGAGATCAGAATCAGGAAATTAAGAAATTTATGGTTAACTTGTGTAACAACAGGAAGGCTTAGTAATAATATTGTTTAAAGAATTTCACAAGCAAGCCACCATGGTGCACCCCTGGAATCCCAGCTATTTTGGGAGCTAAGACAGGTAGGAGGGTGGGAAGTTCAAAGCCCGTCTTTAGCAACTTAGCAAGACCCACCTCAAAAAATAAACTACCTCAGTGGTAAAGTGCCCCTGGGTTCAATCCACAGTACCAATAAATAAGTAAATAAATAGATAGATAGATAAAATTATAACAGGTGAGAATTTTCATATCAAATCTTACTTCTCAGTGAAAACTTAAAAGAATTAAGTACTCTATCTGCAGTACTTTCTCTTAATCACAGGACAAAAAAACATATATAATATGTTGCAAAAAGAGGAAGGAAAATACTGTAAGTCTCAAAAAACTTTAGAATAACAAGAAAACAGGGTAAGCTGTCAGTAGAACTGTAAAAGAAAAAAATAGCTTAAAAATTCAACAAAGATAAAATACAAAAGAAAACAGCCTCAGTAAAAAATAAATGACATGGATATGAATAAAAGTAGATGATTTCTTGAAATTAGTAAAAAAAACATACCTTATATTTAATGATAACTTTACAAGAATGCCATTTTGATTAAAATATAAGTTATTTGGAAAGTTTCTGTTAACAATTAGCAATTTGAGATGACATGCATCACAAATAAGCTTTCATCTAATGAAAGAAGTATAGGATATACTTACAATTGAATCACTTACAATTATTTTTGAAAATTCAAGAACTGGAGAGATACCAGAAGACTGGAAAAAAGCAAGTGTAGTACTGATCTTCCATAAAGGTAAGGAAAAGAGAGAATAGAAAGTTACCATACTGTGAGTCTGAATCAATAATCAAGTAAAGGAAAAATAAAGAGAAAATCTGTAACTATACAGAGGAAAAACAGGTACATAAGCAGCAAGTAACAAGTTAAAAAACAAAACATTATGCCAAATTCATTGGCTTTTCTGTCCCTTTGAAATTTAAGTTAGCAAATTAAATTTTTAAAGAAATAAAACCATGTTGTCTCCCTATCAGATGTCTTAAAAGTTGGTTTAATGATGAAAAACGTATGTTAAAAAATCAGAAATACTAACAAGATCACAATTTTAAGTGAGGCTTGCTAATCTGTGATTTCCCTGAACATTTTGAAACATTTATAATCCCTATTTATCCCTAAGATTTATCCACTTCAGCTAAAGGAAAAATAGGAATTAAAGATAACAGAGAAATTCTGAGGGAAAAAATTTCTACCTAATTTTAATCGTAAAGATTAATACTCAACTATCAGTTCATTTGGAATAAAATTATCAATTTTAAAATGTCCATAAAATTGAGCCTAGTATTAAACCATATTCTCCACAGTACCTTCAGAGAAGTACTTTCCATTAAGTCAGTGTACTGACAATCCAAGGCTTCAAATTAAATTCTCTATTATCAACACGGTAGCTCTAGGTATCTTACCAAAAATTGCTGGGTTTTCCAAGAATGCCTAAAAAGTGAGGTCCCCCCCCCCATAATTTGAGTAAGCAGTCTTAACACCATGGATTCACCATGGATACCTATTAAAATTTTTTATAGTATTAGGTATCTTGCTAGACACTTTATATTTTCTCCTTTCATCATCACAACATAGTAGACAGATATTGGTTATTACTCAAATCTTCCAGCTAGATTTTTTTTTTTTTTAAACAGGGATTCTAACCTAGTCCTCTGGCTTCAAATACATTACACTTTTCTATTAAATCAATGAAATTTGAAAAGAGTTCTTATAACATAAGGGTACAAAAACATAACTTGAAAATTGCCTCAAGGAGTTTAAGGTATTAAAAATGAGCACAAGGGCTGGGGTTGTGGTTCAGTGGTAGAGCGCTCGCCTAGTACTTGTGAGGCCCTGAGTTCAATCCTCAGCAACCCCTTGAAAATAGATGAATGAAGCAAAAGTTCTGTGTCTATCTACAACTAAATAATAGACATTTAAAAAAATAAAAATGTGCACAAGCTTTAAGGTTTGATCTAGTTTTGCATGCTGAGTCTACAACTTCCTAATAAATTACCTGTGTGCTCTAGCCAAGTCACTTTTTCTTTCTCCATTTTCTCCAGAATAAGATAATATAATAACAAAAAACATTTGAGGTTTCTAGGCAGATGAAATGGGGAAAATATGTGTAAAGTAATACAATAATAGGTATTCTACTTCCCTTTATAATTTGGAGTCTCAGATCACCCAGATTCACCACTATAATCCCAAACTCCACACAGTGTTTAATATAAAAAAGTCACAAAGGATACTGGTTGAACTTAAAAAAAAAAAAATCAGCTAATACTATAAACCATGTGCAATTTTTCAGAGATACACAATCAAGAAAAGGATAAAAGCACTAAGTTAAATTGTATTTAGCGTCTCCTTAAATAGGAAATGAAACGTTAAGTTGATGAACTCTGAAGATAATAGATAATGATAGTAATAAAATAAGGTATGAGCAAAAGACAAAACAAGTGATGAAAAAAATGCTGTCTAGAAACCAGATGAGAAAAAATATCCAATATGAGATACAGAAAAGTATTGGTTATTTTACCTAAAATTATTACCTTGAAAACCAAGAGTCAAACAGTATAAAGAAAGCCTATTTTTTCCTTAAGACTATCATCTCTGAAAAACTAGAATTGCTTTTTGATTTAAATTTACAAAGAAAACAGTTTATAGGTAGTTGTTTCTTTCTTTTAGAAATCTACTAACAAATCTGAATTGCTCTTATAAATGTGACAGAAATAGGGTGCTTTGCCAAACAGAAATCAGGTACAGACACTAGCTAAAATTCATGAATTTCAATCATCACACCAAGTCTTAGCACAACTCTTACTCTTACTCACCTATTGCTAAACTCTTACATAACCCTTGGACTTGTGAAACAAAATACAGCATTGACTCCATAAAGTGATTTGGTTACTCAAGCAACTGGACAACAGAAGATTTGTAGCATTTTCCTCTATTGAAATCACTGGTAGCTTTTTTTTTTTTTTAAAGATTCTCCCAGTTTATTTCAACAAAGCAGTATAAAAAGCAACTAAATAAACAAAACAAAAACTTAAAATCTATAAATAGGATGACCATACACATGTTTGCATAGGACAGTCTTTATGCCTGCTATCTAGGCAAAATTATTATTAGCAGCCTCCTTCACTCTCAAAACTGTCCCCATTTAGACAATAAAGTTACCCTCTATCATAAGAATGTAACTGGCATTTTCAACATATAAATATCATGAAAAGCATTAAGATTCTGAGTATTCAGATACAGCAAATTATCTTTAAAGAAAAAAATCTTAAATATGAGTTTACAGTGTCTGAATGCAGAAAGCAAACTATAGAAATTAAAAAAAATACCAGAATTCTATTGATAATGAGTAGTTACATAACATTAGAGACACAAGTAATATTAAAGCTGCATTTTTTAAAAGCTATTTGTTATACACTAGAAGATACATTTTTAAAAGGTTATTTACACACACACACATACACCACATGCTGAAATAAAACATGAACCAAAACATAAAATGCTGTTACTCCAGAGCAGTGGGATTGAGGACTGGAAGCATTTAAGAGACTCTTTGTTTCTACTATTTATATTCATGTTTAATTTTTTCTAAGTACACATTTTAAAAATATGTTAAAGAAATAAATGTAGCAATACTGACAGTGCTCAAAAACCTTTCCAAGTATGTAGTATAAAATGCAGTATAAAAAAATTCAGGTGTGCCAGGCAAGTGACCTGCCATAGCCCCAGCTGTAACATCATTTAAAGGTAAAGTACAAGGCAATAAAAAGTACTTAAAACTTAGCAATCACCACTATACTGAAATAAATGAAATGGTGAGAAGAAAAATGGCCAGTAAAACAAAGCATAATACTTAACTTTTTTTCCACACCCTTCCTGCCAACAACATGAGCATGACTCAACATTCAAGAAAGCAATCTCAGGAAGAACAAAAACATCTACTACATCACATCACCTAACAAAGTACTGTTTTGACCATGTGGTATTTGGCAGTCAACCAAAACATTTCTTCTGAGACACTTTAGTTGATCTGGCTACTTGCAAAATCTTTCTTATGTCATTCTAGTATCTAAATTAAATTCAGTAGCTTACTAGTATGGAATTTAAAAAAAAAATACATTCTTCCCTTCCCCAACCTCAGATTAACAGCTATTAAAAGACTTTAGAAAGTCTGTTTTTAACCAACTACCAAATATAAATGCTTTAGGAAAGTTTCCAGGTAATCTAGTCTATGTACAACTAGGAAAAATTAAACATGTAAATCTTTAAACTGAGAATTTTAGTAGTTAGTTCGAGCTTTGAAATAACTGCAGAATTCTCATAGCATAATACTTGTTGGAAATTTGATTATGTTTTCCAAAACAAAACCTGATTTATCTAACAAAACTAGGTCTCTTTACAGCAAATATAACAAATCAACAAATTAATGCCAGAGGAGAGCTAACATGACAAAGGAGTCAGACTAAAACAAGGCTTATATTTCACACAAACAAAACAAAAACAATCCTGAACTGAAAAGAACAGGTGGTTCTACAAGTGTTCTGGCACCTTATCCCTTAAAATTACATATGTCAAAGTTGTTTTTATATATCTGATTTTAGCTGCCAATGAATGTCGCATGAAAACACAGGCACATTTTTGATAGTTATTAAAAGTATATATGAAATTTCCCTGATTTAGTTCAATTATTGTCAGAAACCTATCAAGATGATCTGAAACAGAACTAGAATGAATTGCAATCTGCCTGACAGGTTTTTGTTTTTGTTTTTTGTGTGTGGTGCTGGTGATTGAACCCAAACACTCACACAATAGGCAAGTGCTCTACTACTGACCTACATCCTCAACCCAGTATTACTATTTAAACATAAAAAAAATCCAAGAACTATAAGTTCTCGGAGATTATAAACCAGAGTATTCATGATAAAAATCATAAATCACACACTTAGTTATTACAAAAAGATTTACTACATTACAAGTATGAATTTTGAATTTTTTATGGCTAACGAAATTTTTAAAGAAAAAAAAGAAAGATTAGGGAAAAAATATGGAAATAAACTGCAGTACAATGAGGAGGAAGATCAGGCAATGACAATCATCTCATCCCTCTAAAAGCTCATTCTCTCTGGCCAAATCTTAGGAGCACATTTTTATACATACTACTCTGGGTATAGAATTCAGTGTTACAATAGTTACTTTCTCATTGGGCATCTCCTATGACTATGGCTCTATGTTGGCCATGTTGGGAATGCCAAGGTGAAGCAGACAGTGATCTTGTCTTAAAAGAGTTTCAATCTATTAGAAGACATAAACATCTGTCTACAAATAACTGATTTGAGCAAGGTAAAATAAATGATAAAAGAAAGGCACTAGAAGATTTAAGGAGAAAGTTATAAGAATAAGAAAGATTTCTGAGAGGTGGCATTTGACAGTGCAGGATTTGGACAGAAATGGGGAAGAAATATTACAGCAGTGGGCCATGGTAGAAAACAGTATTATCAGATGAAGTGTTTGAACATTTCTTTAATAAAGTGACTATAGAAGTGATTGCAGAGCTAAGGAAACAAGGGATGCTAAAGACCCCAGGAATAAGGGAGCAGCAGGAAGCCTTTACTACTTCTATTCTGAAGTAGCAAGGAATAATGTTATCATGGGCCAATCACAGGAGGAGCTACTCAGTGTATACTGCAGCTGTAGGACAGTCACTGCTAAAACTGCATCAAAGCAGGGAAGGAGCAGTGGCAATAAATACTCCAAAGTTTCTCTTTCTTTTAACCTTCCATCTTCTGTTGCTGCCTCCCATTGACTAAACCCAAACAGAAGCCTAAGGACAAAGGACACCGGGTGATACAGGCTGTAAAGTTCAGGCTCCTGGAGCATAGAACAAAAAGCAGAAAATGAATCTGTAAGAAAGTGGAGAATAACCAGAAAAGATATACTCCCAGACTGAAGGGCTAGTATAAACTCAAAGAGAGGTTAAAAAACACAAGACCAGGGCTGGCATGTGGCTCAGTGGTGGAGCACTCGCCTTGCATATGTGAAGCACTGGGTTCGATCCTCAGCACCACATAAAAATAAATAAACAAAATAAAGGTATTGTGCCCACGTATAACTAAGAAAATATTTTTTAAAAAGACCAAATGAGGGGCTGGGGATGTGGCTCAAGCGGTAGCGCGCTCGCATGCGTGCGGCCCAGGTTCGATCCTCAGCACCACATACAAACAAAGATGTTATGTCCACTGAAAACTAAAAAAAATAAATATTAAAATTCTCTCTCTCTCTCTTAAAAAAATTTATAAAAAAAAAAAGACCAAATGAAGAATAATATTCTTTTAGAGACATATAAGATGGTATTTTTCAGATCTGGATGCTGACTTTGAAGGAAATCAAAATTAGTAGCTGAACTGGAGAAAGTACTGGGGTTCAAGAAGCAACACATGCAGATCCACCAGAGCAGCACCTTGACACTTTCTAGATATAACAAAAAAGCAAGCATCATCTAGGCTTAAGTCCTAGAAAGTAAGGGTCTTCCTATGTGACTCTGAACAAATCATTTGGCTTCTCGGAAACTCCTACTTCTACTATTTAAAAAAAAAAAAAAAAAGGAAAGAAAAGAGAAGAGAAGGGGAAAAAAACAGAGACTGAATTCTGAATTAACTTTTAGGATTTCTTCCACTTTTAGGATTCTGTGAAAGGAGTATCTCCAGGTAAACAACCTTATTCACCCAGAGAGTAAATACCTCTGGGGTCTACTTATTCATCTTAGAAAAATTATTTTAATTTAAATAAAGATAGTAAGAACTTGTAAGTTGCGACCACATCCTCTTGGTATGATAAAAAATGTTCAAACTCAAGCCAACGACC